GGGATATTTTACCAAGAAGGAGAGTGATGGAGTGCTGCATCAGATGACCTGGTCTCCACAATCCCCCGACCTCAACCCAATTGAGATGGTTTGGGATGAGTCGGATGGCAGAGTGAAGGAAAAGCAGCCAACAAGTGCTCACCATATGTGGGAACTCCTTCAAGACTGTTGGAAAAGCATTCCAGGTGACGCTGGTTGAGAGAATGACAAGAGTGTGCAAAGCGGACATCAAGGCAAAGGGTGGCTATTTGAAGAATCTCAAACATAAAATATATTTTGAGTTGTTTAACACTTTTTTCTTACTACATGATTCCATATGTGTTATTTCATAGAAAATAGTAAAAATAAAGCAAAACCCTTGAATGAGTAGGTGTGTCCAAACTTTTGACTGGTACTGTATATATATGGTTTATAACTCTCTGTCTGATCCCAGTAATAAACTATAGGTCTCCATTACCTTATATCAATGTTCCGTTCAGTATCTCTCTGACTGTTCCTAGTAATAACTATAGGTCTCCATTACCTTATATCAATGTTCTGTTCAGTATCTCTCTGACTGTTCCTAATAATAACTATAGGTCTCCATTACCTTATATCAATGTTCTGTTAAGTATCTCTCTGACTGTTCCTAATAATAACTATAGGTCTCCATTACCTTATATCAATGTTCTGTTCAGTATCTCTCTGACTGTTCCTAATAATAACTATAGGTCTCCATTACCTTATATCAATGTTCTGTTCAGTATCTCTCTGACTGTTCCTAATAATAACTATAGGTCTCCATTACCTTAAATCAATGTTCTGTTCAGTATCTCTCTGACTGTTCCTAATAATAACTATAGGTCTCCATTACCTTAAATCAATGTTCTGTTCAGTATCTCTCTGACTGTTCCTAGTAATAACTATAGGTCTCCATTACCTTATGTCAATGTTTTGTTCAGTATCTCTCTGACTGTTCCTCATAATACCTATAGGTCTCCATTACCTTATATCAATGTTCTGTTCAGTATCTCTCTGACTGTTCCTAATAATAACTATAGGTCTCCATTACCTTATATCAATGTTCTGTTCAGTATCTCTCTGACTGTTCCTAATAATAACTATAGGTCTCCATTACCTTATATCAATGTTCTGTTCAGTATCTCCCTGACTGTTCCTAATAATAACTATAGGTCTCCATTACCTTATATCAATGTTCTGTTCAGTATCTCTCTGACTGTTCCTAATAATAACTATAGGTCTCCATTACCTTATATCAATGTTCTGTTCAGTATCTCTCTGACTGTTCCTAATAATAACTATAGGTCTCCATTACCTTATATCAATGTTCTGTTCAGTATCTCTCTGACTGTTCCTAATAATAACTATAGGTCTCCATTACCTTATATCAATGTTCTGTTCAGTATCTCCCTGACTGTTCCTAATAATAACTATAGGTCTCCATTACCTTATATCAATGTTCTGTTCAGTATCTCTCTGACTGTTCCTAATAATAACTATAGGTCTCCATTACCTTATATCAATGTTCTGTTCAGTATCTCTCTGACTGTTCCTAATAATAACTATAGGTCTCCATTACCTTATATCAATGTTCTGTTCAGTATCTCTCTGACTGTTCCTAATAATAACTATAGGTCTCTACTACCTTATATCAATGTTCTGTTCAGTATCTCTCTGACTGTTCCTAGTAATTACTATAGGTCTCCATTACCTTATATCAATGTTCTGTTCAGTATCTCTCTGACTGTTCCTAATAATAACTATAGGTCTCCATTACCTTATATCAATGTTCTGTTCAGTATCTCCCTGACTGTTCCTAATAATAACTATAGGTCTCCATTACCTTATATCAATGTTCTGTTCAGTATCTCTCTGACTGTTCCTAATAATAACTATAGGTCTCCATTACCTTATATCAATGTTCTGTTCAGTATCTCTCTGACTGTTCCTAATAATAACTATAACTCTCTATTACCTTATATCAATGTTCTGTTCAGTATCTCTCTGACTGTTCCTAGTAATTACTATAGGTCTCCATTACCTTATATCAATGTTCTGTTCAGTATCTCTCTGACTGTTCCTAATAATAACTATAGGTCTCCATTACCTTATATCAATGTTCTGTTCTGTATCTCTCTGACTGTTCCTCATAATAACTATAGGTCTCCATTACCTTATATCAATGTTCTGTTCAGCATCTCTCTGACTGTTCCTCATAATAACTATAGGTCTCCATTACCTTATATCAATGTTCTGTTCAGCATCTCTCTGACTGTTCCTCATAATAACTATAGGTCTCCATTACCTTATATCAATGTTCTGTTCAGTATCTCTCTGACTGTTCCTAATAATAACTATAGGTCTCCGTTACCTTATATCAATGTTCTTATCAGTATCTCTCTGACTGTTCCTAATAATAACTATAGGTCTCCATTACCTTATATCAATGTTCTGTTCACTATCTCTCTGACTGTTCCTAATAATAACTATAGGTCTCTACTACCTTATATCAATGTTCTGTTCAGTATCTCTCTGACTGTTCCTAGTAATTACTATAGGTCTCCATTACCTTATATCAATGTTCTGTTCAGTATCTCTCTGACTGTTCCTAATAATAACTATAGGTCTCCATTACCTTATATCAATGTTCTGTTCAGTATCTCTCTGACTGTTCCTAGTAATAACTATAGGTCTCCATTACCTTATATCAATGTTCTGTTCAGTATCTCTCTGACTGTTCCTAATAATAACTATAGGTCTCCATTACCTTATATCAATGTTCTGTTCAGTATCTCTCTGACTGTTCCTAATAATAACTATATGTCTCCATTACCTTATATCAATGTTCTGTTCAGTATCTCTCTGACTGTTCCTAATAATAACTATAGGTCTCCATTACCTTATATCAATGTTCTGTTCTTTCCATAGGCTTACACCACTGTATATCAATGTACAGTATAATGTCTTCACTCATGTCGTTGACACGCTAACAACATTAATACAATGTTGCTATTAGTGTAAGTAGTGTAATACAGTACTATTACAGAGGTATCAGAGAAACTTAGGACTCTATTCAATCTGGATCGCTGAAGCGTTACAGATTACTTGATAGAAATGTAAAGGTCATTTCCGATTGAGTCGTCATATGCAGCCTTCACCGTGAATGCAGTCTCCGCTAACGCGGGAACATTGCCTTTAAATTCCAATCACGCTTTAACGCTTAACTTCCGAAATACGGATTGAATATTATGTGTGTAAAGTGTAACCCCAACCTGTTTAATTTCACATGAACTGTAGTGTTCGTTCTGTCAGCCATAATGTGGGTCTGTTAATACAAGGTGAAACGCAAAGCAAAGGTGGCAGAACCAGATGGAATACATCGTAATAAGCCTCGTTTACACCTTGCACTAGCATGTAGGTTTCGTGATCTGATCAAATATGATACAATCACTATCTGATCAAAGTTTGTCGCGTCTACACATGGTATTAAAAGGTCTCTGATCCATCCACAGTGTCTGCATTGTAAACAGATTAGTAAATTATTTCACAGATATTTGTTTTAAGACATATTGATGCCATAAGTCAATTGTCAATGATTTTAGATCTGTTTACACTTGTAAGATATGCAGACACAATGCACCCCGACTACCTCTGGAAGTGGTCAGGGAGATCTGATCACAATAAGATCACAATGGGTCTTTTAATCGTGTACACCTGTCTAAAAATGTGGGCACAATCAGAATGTGGAAAATATCAGGACAAAGGACGCATGTTAGCACCAGGTGTAGCTCAGTTGGTAGAGCGTGGCGTTTGCAACGCCAGGGTTGTGGGTTCGTTTCCCACAGGGGGCCAGTATGAAAAATGTATGCACTCACTAACTGTAAGTCGCGCTGGATAAGAGCGTCTGCTAAATGACTAAAATGTATAAATGGGGCTTCTGAGGAGAACCTGTTGGTTTAAAGCTCAATACATCTGACAAAGGCATGACCACCAGATAGACTTGACACGTTCTCTGAAGCAGTACGAACATATTTCCTCTTTTATTTACATTCCTTGTTCAAATGTTAACATTTTATAACGCTATAACGCTTGATCAAGTTGGCATTTTTTTTCTCATTAAAATAAATTGGCACAAGTAAAACATATGTAGACAAAAGTTTATTTACACCATACAACATTTTTCGTTTTTTAAATATTTTATACAGGGCTGCAGATGAGAGTTTTTGCCGAGAGTCTTCAAGCAAGATTCTGCAGTATTAAAGTTTGTGAAATATATTATTCATATAAAAGTGAGTATTACCTTTATTGCATTTAAAGCAATGAAGAATGTAGCTTTGACAAACATTCATTTTTATATGACAGAAAAATCCTCTTTGCCTGCCACTCTCGCTCATATATGTTTTATATTATAAAGTAAAAAGTGTAGTAATGGCCAAACAGACTTGTTATAAACTTTTTAAAAACCTGCATAAATATATACATTGTGCTTCCAGGGTCCAGTTTTGAGAAATATAAAACTGGACCCAACGAAGCTGGGATCGACATGGTATTATGTCTTCATTTAGCTTTTTGAGGTTTATTCATCTAGAAAGATTTTCACCTTTTTGAACCAATTCTTCTTACCACGGGTACTCTGAAACACATGATGGTAAATATTGTACACCCACCTGGCTGGCCTGCTGCACTAAGTACACTAGTGAGAATACAAAAAGTAACACTGATGTTTTTTGTTGTATTTTTTTGTTGTATTTTTTCCTCCTGTCCTCTGTCGTTTCCTCGTAAATCGTATTGGCACATCATGTCCTTGTCATACTCCTTTATAATCCAGATATGTAGTAGGCCAAGGCTGTTAGGACAGTCTGTCCATTTTTTCAGTGCAAAATACATCCTTTCCCCTTTCCTCCATGTCCTGGTTATCGTTTTTCTCCTGGTTGTCCTCTTCCTGGTTTCTACTTCCTGGATATACTCCTTCCTGGAGTGCACCCAAAATGTCACCCTATTCCCTATATAGTGCACTACTTTTGACCAGAGCCTTATGAGTCCTGTTCAAAAGAGCCCTATGGGTACTGGTCAAAAAGAAGCCTATAGGACCTGGTCAAAAGTAGTGTGCTTCATCGGGGCCTATTTCGTGGTTTGTTTAGATCAGATCAGATCAGACCTCTGTCTGGAAGTCTCCTTCCTGGACGTCTAAGGGGAGATTGACACACTTCTCCCACTCCGCTGCGGTCATCTCCAGAGAGTCCTTGGTGTCAGGGTCTAGTACATTCATACTGCTGTAGTTCTGGTACTCACAGGCTGGGTTGTAGCTCTCCCAGGGGTTCTTGTTGGGCATGGCCTTGTCCTTGGGAGGACAGGGACAGGTTAGCAGCAGATATGGACAGGGTCATAGCAGGACATAGGAGGTAGCATGCCTTATAGTCACTAGACATGGTTCACTATACACTGTTACTATATGTTATACCCTATGCACGTTATATGTTATATATAGGAAAGGGCGGGGATATAATATTACAGGATATGTGGGGTTTTCCCCTTGGGGACTCCCTCCTGTCCCTTCCGTCCTTTCTTTCTTTTTTTTAAACATTGGGAAACCCCTTGGTTAATAAAAACTTCCATAAAAGCTGAAAAAAACTGTTTTATAAAATCATTGTTTTCACACTTTAAAAAAATTTAAAACATTCATATGAAACTATAATGGTTTTTCAAGAAAGTTATTAAATTTTAAACCAAAAAAGGATTAAAACCCGAACTTTTTTACGATGTCTGCCCCATGCTTGATCACCTCACTAATTTCTGGGGAGGCACATTAAAGGTGTATGGTTTTATGAGAGCGAAGTAACAAAAGGGAATAAAATATCTCAAAAGTAAAAATGTGGTTAGGGTTATTTATGGAAGAATTTAAATAATAGTGCGCTTTCCCCTTTTAGTGAAAAAACGGGGACGAGGGGCGAGGATGAGCTTCCACTTTGTCTGACTGTGTCTGTTCTTTCCCCTAAAAATGTATTTGCATCAAAGTTTCTCAATACTATGCCTTTGTGCAAGCACAGGTCAAACGTTTTCTGTAATCTCACAGGTATTCACCTGTCTGTTTTGGCCATCCTCCATGCAGATCTCCTCTAGAGCAGTAATGTTTTGTCGCTGGCACACAGACTTTCAACTCCTCCAAAGATTTTCTATGGGTTGAGATCTGGAGACTGGCTAGGCCACTCCAGGACCTTGAAATGCTTCTTACGAAGCCACTCCTTCGTTGCCCGGGCGGTGTGTTTGGGATCATTGTCATGCTGAAAGACCCAGCCACGTTTCATCTTCAATGCCCTTGCTGATGGAAGGAGGTTTTCACTCAAAATCTCACCATACATGGCCTCATTTATTCTTTCCTTTACACGGATCAGTCGTCCTGGTCCCTTTGCAGAAAAACAGCCCCAAAGCATGATGTTTCCACCCCCATGCTTCACAGTACGTATGGTGTTCTTTGGATGCAACTCAGCATTCTTTGTCCTCCAAACACGACGAGTTGAGTTTTTACCAGAAAGTTCTATTTTGGTTTCATCTGACCATATGACATTCTCCCAATCCTCTTCTGGATCATCCAAATGCACTCTAGCAAACTTCAGACGGGCCTGGACATGTACTGGCTTAAGCAGGGGGACACGTCTGGCAATGCAGGATTTGAGTCCCTGGCGGCGTAGTGTGTTACTGATGGTAGGCTTTGTTACTTTGGTTCCAGCTCTCTGCAGGTCATTCACTAGGTCCCCCTGTGTGGTTCTGGGATTTTTGCTCACCGTTCTTGTAATCATTTTGACCCCACGGGGTGAGATCTTGCGTGGAGCCCCAGATCGAGGGAGATTATCAGTGGTCTTGTATGTCTTCCATTTCCTACAAATTGCTCCCACAGTTGATTTCTTCAAACCAAGCTGCTCACCTATTGCAGATTCAGTCTTCCCAGCCTGGTGCAGGTCTACAATTTTGTTTCTGGTGTCCTTTGACAGCTCTTTGGTCTTGGCCATAGTGGAGTTTGGAGTGTGACTGTTTGAGGTTGTGGACAGGTGTCTTTTATACTGATAACAAGTTCAAACAGGTGCCATTAATACAGGTAACGAGTGGAGGACAGAGGAGCCTCTTAAAGGAGAAGTTACAGGTCTGTGAGAGCCAGAAATCTTGCTTGTTTGTAGGTGACCAAATACTTATTTTCCACCATAATTTGCAAATAAATTCATAAAAAATCCTACAATGTGATTTTCTGGATTTTTTTTTCTCATTATGTCTGTCATAGTTGACGTGTACCTATGATGAAAATTACAGGCCTCTCTCATCTTTTTAAGTGGGAGAACTTGCACAATTGGTGGCTGACTAAATACTTTTTTTCCCCACTGTATATATATATATATATATATATATATATATATATATATATATATATATATATATACAGGGATATGTGAGGGTTATTACTTAGAAGGGAGCATGCCTCACTGTCACTAGTCACAGTTCACGGTTCTTCTTTTTCTTAAACATTGGGTAACATTGGTTAATAATAAGTTCCATGAATAAGCATGAATAAACTGTTTTATAAATACATTTGTATTTCATCACTTTAAAACATTTATAAACATTCATATGAAAGCTATAATGGATTATTCAAGAAAGTTATTATAAAGTTTAGCTAAACAATGGATTATACAGAGACTTTGAATTACGATGTACTGCCTCTATGCATTGATCACCTCAACTAATGTTCTGGTAGAGCACATTAATGGTGTAATGGTTCTATGAGAAGCGTAAGTAACAAAAGGTAATGAAAAGTATCTCAAATGTGAATAATGTGGTTAGGCTATATCATGGAAGAATTCAAATGAATAGTGCGCTTTCCCTTGTAGCTGAATAACGGTGACGAGGGACTAGAGGATGAGCTTCCACTGTGTCTGACTGTGTGCTGTTCTGTTCCCATAATCTGGATGTACTCTCACTGACACTCACAAGGAGACTAGTAGGGAGGCAAATAGCGCAGCGAGCTATCGGAGCTGTTACTATGCAGTCAGGGAATACACAATGGTTACTAATGTTGTCTGTAGCTCTGGAGCCTGCCAGCTATTCAGCCAGCCCAGCCAGCACTGCAGTACATTTATTCCCCCCCCCCCCCCCCCCCCAAAACAAAATGTAAGTGAAAAAAAAAGAAGTCGTTTTCTATATAAATGTCCTTGTGGTGGTTACTAAGCAACAAGCAGCGAATTACGCTGTGCAGTGGGGTTGATTGAAATGTGAGAGAAGAGAGAGAGGATTACATGACATGACAGGCCGAGGGGCTAACTGCCTGCCTGCTTGCATGCCGCCGCAGAGCTGACTCTATTCTCACACAACAATAGGCCTGAGTGTGTTTTGGTCAACAGGCCCATTTCTGTCTGTAAACTATTCCCAGGATACAGTGCAGAAAGCAATGCAGAAATCATTCACTCAGAACTGACCATGTCCGGTGATATGTCAGGACTGATACAGCGCCTTGCATTTGAATGGATGCACTCAAATTGAGATGGAATACCACGACAGAAAGCCTTCTCACAGGGGCTCCTTTTCAACACATCTAAGATATATAGTCTGATTGAACCTTTCCAACCCCCAATTCACCTGGGGGGTGGTAAAGAGCGCCAAGCAGGATCCTTTTCCTCGATTCCTTGCATCCATGTCCGAGTGGAGGGACCTTAGACCTTCTAAGGAGGCGAGGAGATAGGATACAAGGAATTGTGGAAAGATGAATTGAGAAAGAGCCAGTGAGTCTTCAGACTGCCTGTGATGAGATAATGCCTGCCCTCTCTCAGACAGTCTCTCGTTTAGCGACTAGTCATCCCCCCCCCCCCACCCCCCTCACCACCAGCAGCTGGCAGGCCTGCTAGGTATAGAGCCATGTCACTGGATCTGTTCATTTGCTCAATGACTCAGTACGTGGTGCTGCTGAGCGGATGGACATCTAAAAAAGGCTATCTATCTTGCTTTGTACTCTAATCGGTCGACAACCACCAGCTTCGACCAATCACCCCATCTGGATTTTCTCCAGCTCTGTAATTGGTCTACAACAGCCGACCGCTGACCAATCATCTCCCCTTGCCCTTCACCATTTCCTGTTACTGCTGATTTCCTGTTCCTGTTCCTGGTATTATTACTCACCATGCTGCCCATATTTGGTATGTCTTGAAATCGATCCAGGGTTTGAAATTTCTGATTCAGTTCTTGGAACAGCTCCATGTGTCTTTTCCTGGTGTGCATGACTTTCTGCAATGGCAAGGGGTTCGTTTTGGTTTGGAAATCAAAGCCAATAATAGGATGGAGATTATAATGCAATGTGCTTTCCTCTCTACCCCCTACACCTTTCTGAATAGCATTTCATCTGTCACTGGTATTATGGCAAGGCTAAGACATATTACAGGGGCCAATGTCTTTTAAGGATTTTGCATATAATGTAAGCCAGTTGAGTAATTACATATCATTTATGGCCAATTTTATTATCAAATCTACCTTTCACATTTATACAGAAAAGTCAGAATACAATAATTTGATGGAGAAATTGAATAAACCCACAAAAGTGGTTTGAGACATTTGTGTCTTGGGCTGTCAGCCAATGTCATATTTTCCATCGAAAAAGCACAAAAGTCAGGTGTGAAATGTGCATGTGACTTTATAAAGCATAACAGTTTTAAAATCAACTCATAGCCAATGGATGTACGTAAGCGATGGAGGAGGAACCAAATGAGAGTGGGTGAGATTTGCTGGCTGACCTTTGTACGGCTTTAGTTTGACAGGATTGTTTTACCTTAACTACGCCACACATCAATACATCTGTGTTGTGTCAAGACCATGTTACTCCAATAAGCTTAAGTGCTACAAAAAAGTAGTAGTAAATTAAAGGGTAGGGCAAACACGAATGCTCAGTGTAACAACGATAGTAAATTAAAGGGTAGGGCAAACACGAATGCTCAGTGTAACAACGATAGTAAATTAAAGGGTAGGGCAAACACGAATGCTCAGTGTAACAACGAAAGCCTGAAGCATGCACTTTGCCAACCAGTAAGTTTACTTACTTCAAAGTCCAGGTCTTGGTAGCGCGATTTTCTTCTCTGAAGACAAGAAAAACATATTGCAGATAATTAGACAACATACAGTATGTTAAAATGAGGGGGTTATGACCTTCTAAATACTATAGAAATTATAACTCAGTATTAATGAACACTAATTAACATTCTAAGCGTGACAAAATAAACACATTTTCCTTTACGGCAACAATGTGACAATCTTCTCACTTGAACACAGCTGCAAATTAATTATGTATTTACTTCTGCAGCAATTTCTAATTTGAACATTACTACAAACAATGGCTTTATTTACTTAAACCAACACTTCAACAGTCTTCTCCACTCCAGCCTACCTCTAAGGTTAAACCAACACTTCAACAGTCTTCTCCACTCCAGCCTACCTCTAAGGTTAAACCAACACTTCAACAGTCTTCTCCAATCCAACCTACCTCTAAAGAGCTCATGGATATGGTGGATCCCGTCTCGCTCCTCGACAGCCCTCCAGTCTCTTCCATCTCAGCCAGGAAGTTCTTGACGGCAGTGCGGGGTTCAAAGGGAAGGTTCTGCTGCATGTGTTCCTGTCCTCCTCCTGACCCGTACTGCTGCTGCAGGTTCTGATCCATGTTCATGTGCTCCATGCCCCCCATCACGCCCATCCCCGTCGGGCTCATGTTGAAGTCCGGTGCCATCTTGTAGTGTTGCATCATTCTCTCGTGGGGCAGCGTATCGCCCATGCCCATGCCCACGTTCATCTTGGTGGAGCTATCGTCCTTCAGGAGAGTGGGAAGTGTGTTACAGTTCCCAGATCCGGCCGCCGCCGAAGCCCGTGGCATCACGATGTAGTCCGTCTCCATCATCTGGCCTTGGGGTGAATGCCCGCCCACGCTGCCCATACCGCCCATATTGCCCATGTCGTGGCCACTGCCCATCCCGCCGTGCCCGTGCCCGCCCATATCCTGGTCGGACTGACGAAGAGCATCATCGGTGCATAGGTAGACGGTGCGGCGCATGTCGGACACGCTGTCGCCCAAGCAGCCCTCTCCCATGTCTCCCATGGGGCCCATGTGCATGCCGGGCTGCTGGATCATCACCTTGGACATGATGTTGCCGGGTAAGGTGGAGTAGTTGAGCCCCTCGTGCCCCTTCTCATCCTCCTCGTCGTTCAGAGAGATGCGGGATAGGGTGCCGGTGATGGTGGCCGCGCGGCAAGAGCCCATGTCTTTGTGGAGAGCTGTGGAGAGGAGAGACAGGGGAGATAGTGGAATGAATGCACCATACTGACAGACAGGGGAGATAGTGGAATGAATGCACCATACTGACAGACAGGGGAGATAGTGGAATGAATGCACCATACTGACAGACAGGGGAGATAGTGGACTGAATGCCACCATACTGACAGACAGGGAGATAGTGGAATGAATGCACCATACTGACAGACAGGGGAGATAGTGGAATGAATCCACCATACTGACAGAAGGGGAGATAGTGGAATGAATGCACCATACTGACAGACAGGGGAGATAGTGGAATGAAGCACCATACTGACAGACAGGGAGATAGTGAATGAATGCACATACTGACAGACGGGGGAGATAGTGGAATGAATGCACCATACTGACAGACAGGGGAGATAGTGGAATGAATGCACCATACTGACAGACGGGGGAGATAGTGGAATGAATGCACCATACTGACAGACAGGGGAGATAGTGGAATGAATGCACCATACTGACAGACAGGGGAGATAGTGGAATGAATGCACATACTGAACAGACAGGGGAGATAGTGGAATGAATGCACCATACTGACAGACAGGGGAGATAGTGGAATGAATGCACCATACTGACAGACGGGGGAGATAGTGGAATGAATGCACCATACTGACAGACAGGGGAGATAGTGGAATGAATGCACCATACTGACAGACGGGGGAGATAGTGGAATGAATGCACCATACTGACAGACGGGGGAGATAGTGGAATGAATGCACCATACTGACAGACGGGGGGAGATAGTGGAATGAATGCACCATACTGACAGACGGGGGAGATAGTGGAATGAATGCACCATACTGACAGACGGGGGAGATAGTGGAATGAATGCACCATACTGACAGACGGGGGAGATAGTGGAATGAATGCACCATACTGACAGACAGGGGAGATAGTGGAATGAATGCACCATACTGACAGACAGGGGAGATAGTGGAATGAATGCACCATACTGACAGACAGGGGAGATAGTGGAATGAATGCACCATACTGACAGACAGAGGGAGATAGTGGAATGAATGCACCACACCGAGAACTAATGTCAGTCTGTTTTTAATGATCTGTTTATTTCTCATTTTATGCTTATTTTAAATAATTCCGATTTCAGACCATTGTTGCAGATTTCAGAACCTAATGTTGCATTTCCTTTTTCTGAATGTGTGTCAAAACAAATAATTGAAATTATAATGCCAGGACACTTGAAACAATGAACCAGATGTGTCTGGTATTACACTTTAATGACTATTTCCTCACACAGGTGGGATGAAATAGACAAAACTTGGCTACCGATCTCTTCAAACAGGACACAGGGACACTACTTCAAAGGAGCCAATATAGGGCATTAGATGTTCCTGACGTAACTAAGTACAGAGCTGACAAGCCGAGACAAGCCGACAAACCTCTGAGGAGGACTTTACCATCAAATAACAGCGGGTCAGGAGAACCTTTCCTCAAATCCGACCCGAAATCCCTGATACCTACGACACCTTTTTATCTTATTAAGGTTTGGTTCACCTTGGAAAACCCCCCCAAACCCCAGACACATAACCAGGAGAGGCTAGCTTTTAGTTCTAAAGCTGCCTTGTCAGAAGTCAGAAATACCCTTTTGGAGGAACAGAACAGCCTGTACTGCCGCGCTCTGTGCTTCTCTCCAGCGCTGCAGAGCTGATGGATGCGTCCCAAATGGTAGCATATACCCTACATAGTGCACTACTTTTGGCCCTGGTCCCTATGGGCCCTGGTCAACAGTAGAGCTATGAAGGTAATAGGGTGCCATTTGGGATGCAGGACAGAGGTGTTTTGGGGCCATTTTAATCTTCGCCTTCTGAATCCTCCACAGGGGAATTGCCTGTTCGAAAACCAACAGGCTGCAAGGAGACAACAAGGTCAGCAGTGTGTGTTTGTGTGTGTGTGTGTGTGTGTGTGTATGTGTCTGTGTGTGTCCAGCCCAGCCCAGCCCAGAGCAGAGCAGAGCAGCGCAGCACAGCCAGAAACAGAAAACCTAACAATTCCCTTTTTGTTTTCAGCCTGAATCACCACAGAGTGGAACAGGGAGATAAACAGTGGTGCAGAGAGAGAAAGGAAGGAGGGGGTGGAGGTGGTAGGGGGGGTAGGGGTAGAGGGTGGTGGAGGGGGTCGAGTGGTAGGGAGGTAGGGGTAGTGATGGAGGTGGACGAGGGGAAGGGGGGGTAGGGGTAGAGGGTGGTGGAGGTGGTCGAGGGGGTAGGGGGAGAGGGTGGTGGAGGTGGTCGACGGGTAGGGGGTAGGGGTAGAGAATGGTGGAGGTGGTCGAGGGGTAGGGGGGGGTAGGGGTAGAGGGTGGTGGAGGGGGTCGAGTGGTAGTGGAGGTAGGGGTAGTGATGGAGGTGGACGAGGGGAAGGGGGGGGGGTAGTGGGTAGAGGGTGGTGGTAAGGTGGTCGAGGGGTAGGGGGGGTAGGGGTAGAGGGTGGTGGAGGTGGTCGAGGGGTAGGGGGGTAGGGGTAGAGGGTGGTGGAGGTGGTCGAGGGGTAGGGGGGTAGGGGTAGAGGGTGGTGGAGGTGGTCGAGGGGTAGGGGGGTAGGGGGTAGGGGGTGGTGGAGGTGGTCGAGGGGTAGGGGGTAGGGGGTAGGGGGTAGAGGGTGGTGGAGGTGGTCGAGGGGTAGGGGGTAGGGGGTAGGGTGGTGGAGGTGGTATGACTCCATGGCATGAGGGATGGGCAGGCAGGCGAGGGATTATTCCTGGTATATATTCTTGGCACAGCAAGTCATTATTGTTGGTATATTTCCTGGTATATATTCCTGGTGTTATTCCAAATAGTGTTCCTGATAGATAAAATAATTTGGATTTTACTTTAATCCTTAACACTAGATCTGCTAAAGCAGTCATTTTGACTGCTCATTATTCATAAAATGTTGTATTACTCTGCCATGTTTTAAGTCATGCCACTCTGTCCTTTCCTTTTTTCTAATGAAGTATATATCACACACTGTCCTTGTTACAATCTTAATATTAGAACCAGTTTTAAGAAGGCATGTCATTTTTTTGAATGGTTTTCCCCCGTTGCCCCTCCTTCTCCCAACAGTAGGGCCTGCTTCACTCCAGTGCCCAGCTGATAATCACCCCGACAAACTGAACCTAAACTATAACAACAGATGAAATAAAAGTAAAGTATGATGGGGAGAATGGGGGAGAAAGGGGGAGAAAGGGGGAGAATGGGGGAGAAAGGGGGAGAATGGGTGAATTGATGAGCAATGGCAAGCGAACAATGCATAATTATGTAATCACCAATGGTGAATGAAGAACAGGGTGGGACATTCTATTGTATTGATCCATTCTAATTATAGGTCTAATCTTGAAATTGTATTTACCCTATATCAGTTCACCCAAATCAAATCAGTCGTATCAGTCTACTCTGGCCTACTGGGGGGTAGGCTTCACAGTGAGAGTGTGTGTAATTATATATGCTGAAAGGCTGAAAATATCTGGGAAAATATCCACATTGGGCAGCAGACGCCAGTGTGGGAGAATGTGGTGATAAGGCTTGTTGAACCTTAGGTTGGTAAGGGGAGAAATGTCACAATGGACAATTTCTTCACTTCACTGTCATTGGTGAACAAGTTGCTTGCAAAGAAAACAAGTCTGGCCGGCACCATGAACAAAGTGAGAATGACAAGACAACTGGACACAGTAAAGAGAAAACCGGAGACTATTGCACACTACAACCAGACAAAGGTACGTCAAAGTGTGTCAAGCAAGTGAAAAGGTACTAAAATTGTGTTAACTGTTAGGACAAGGAATAACAGCTAAATGAAATCCAACTGATGCCGTTGTGTGAAGACGCACAGAAGCAGGAGCTGACAAGAATGGACTATTTTTGACTGCTGTCATATCTACACTTATATTCATTATAATGCCTTTATTGCTTTTGTGCCGAGTTTCACTATTTATAATGATGTTTAGGCTACTGATGTTTTCCTCATTTGACTGCGTGTCTTTTGACCATGTGTCTTGGTGGTTGGGGTATTTTTTATTTTATTTTGTCCTTATAAAAAATAAACTGTTACCATGTTCCAACGTATATGCTTTCTGTTTCACAGTTGTAACAAAGGCACTCCTCGAATAAAATGTATTGAACGCTTTAATTTCGTGGTGTTTAAAAAAAATTAAAACGACATATAGCCTACAGTAACATAAACTAATGAAAATGCTACTGTGTTATTTCAAATAAAATACACAAATCGTATTCTAATGTCGCCCAAGGCCTTCATAAACACAACCAAATTATTATTGACGCACCGCTCTAGCCGACGCTTGGCATTGTGCTTGGTGATCTTAGGCTGCTCGGCCATGGAAACCCATGGAGCTCATTAAGCTCCAGATGAACAGTTCTTCTGCTGACATTGTTTCCAGAGGCAGTTTGGAACTCGGTAGTGAGTGTTGCAACCGAGGACAGAATATTTTTTATGCGCTGCACGCTTCAGCACTCGGCGGTCCCGTTCTGTGAGCTTGTGTGGCCTACCACTTCGCGTCTGCGCCATTGTTGCTCCTAGACGTTTCCACTTCACAATAACAGCACTTACAGTTGACCGGGGCAGCTCTAGCAGGGCAGAAATTTTACGAACTGACTTGTTGGAAAGGTGGCATCCTATGACGGTGCCATGTTGAAAGTCACTGAGCTCTTCAGTAAGGCCATTCTACTGCCAATGTTGTCTATGGAGATTGCATGGCTGTTTGCTCGATTTTATACACCTGTCAGCAACTGGTGTGGCTGAACTAGCCGAATCCACTAATTTGAAGGGGTGTCCAAATACTTTTGTATATATAGTGTATCTCCTAGATATAGGACAGACACTTCAAAACCTTATTCCTTATGATTTATTTAGTCTTTTTTGCCATTTATGAATGTGTTATTCAATGCGTTTCTATGGGCTATAGTAGTAAAGGCCAAATTCAATATTTTATCAAATCATTTTTGTATATATATATTTGTTTAACCCTAAAGGAGTCCTTAAATTCCAAATCAAATAGCTAAATGATCCATGGTATGACCATCTTAAAACAATTCCATATGTTAGCTTAGTATCCCCCTCCCCCCAACAGCTTAGACTTTTACAGTTAATAAGTGTTAATAATGCTCTATGTAGCTAATCATTTCATGTTTAAAATATTATATATGTAACGTATGCTTCATAATATACCGTTAATCTAGCCTCATTCATAAACGTACTTTTCGTCTTTTATACAGCATGTGTGTCTGCATGGAACAACGGCAGGGTATTACGTAGCAAAACCTATGCAGCTGCTACAATGTCTGTGACGGCTAGTATTGTCGTGTTCATTCACTGTCAGTAAAATCACTTATAACCCACTGCAATCATTTGCATGACCCCTTCACACAACAAACACATCCCCCTATCAATACCCTGTAACAACAACATGCTAAGACCACTTGCCCAAGCCTGGTAGCTGACAACCGCTGTGTTCGCGTCGATTGACCGAAAACCCCACCTTCCTATAGTAACTCGTACTTACTGTGTTGACTAGAAACGTAATGCATTTCTAGTGTGTCTGCAGTAGGTCTGCAGGCTGGCAGCTCAGTCTAGGACTAGGTCTACTGCAATGAATTATTTATGAACTAGACGTGGGCTTCTACAGTACCAAGTTTCACGCATTTATATAAAAAGGTTGTCGCAGTGTGTGGCAGCGTGAAAGGAGCCCAAATTGCAAATCATTAAGTTCAGTTTAGCTCAGTTTACCTTGTAAAAAGTTTTCAATAAGAGGGCGGAATCGCAATAAACCAGCCTAGACTTTTACATCAAAAGACAGAACACTCTAGGCCTAGGGTGTCCACCCACTCGGCCCAGAGTGGGAGAAAACGCGCTTTGGAGATGACATTTCACTTCCTTATGTTATAAAATACATTTTACCTAGACAAATATGATTTTTCTTGTTTTGAATCATTCAGTGGGGTCTTTCTCTAACATATCATTAATATTATATCCAAAAAGTCGGATTTAATAACCTAATACATCCGATAATAAGCACCGAGCTCTGTTGACAGAGCGGTGCAGCTTTCTCGATGAAACTTTTGAGGATTTTTATATTTTGTGGTCGTCGTCTTCCAAGTTGTTTCCGCCGGTCGCAAATAGCTGAGTTAACACGACACGAGCTGAATTACATGTAAAAAAACATTGAAAATAAAAAACGTGCGGTTCGCTCAGTGCTCCACTGACATTTCCCAGAGATATGCTTGTTTTTGTGAGAAGTCTTCGAAAAAGAACAGTAACTTCACATTAATATGAACAGCGTATAGTAAAATATGAAAATACTACATGTCATGTCTCAAAATCGATATCTATCTTACCTCTATATTGTTTTATGTCCTCCGGATTTCCTCCGGAAAGATGACAAATTCAATGGTAATCCTGTCTGTAGAGTTCAATGGTAAGCCTATCTGTAGAGTTCAACAGTAAGCCTGTCTATAGAGTTCAATGGTAAGCCTGTCTGTAGAGTTCAACGGTAAGCCTGTCTATAGAGTTCAATGGTTAGCCTGTCTGTAGAGTTCAACGGTAAGCCTGTCTGTAGAGTTCAATGGTAAGCCTGTCTGTAGAGTTCAACGGTAAGCCTGTCTATAGAGTTCAATGGTAAGCCTGTCTGTAGAGTTCAACGGTAAGCCTGTCTGTAGAGTTCAACGGTAAGCCTGTCTGTAGAGTTCAATGGTAAACCTGTCTGTAGAGTTCAATGGTAAACCTGTCTGTAGAGTTCAATGGTAAGCCTGTCTGTAGAGTTCAACGGTAAGCCTGTCTGTAGAGTTCAACGGTAAGCCTGTCTGTAGAGTTCAACGGTAAGCCTGTCTGTAGAGTTCAATGGTAAGCCTGTCTGTAGAGTTCAACGGTAAGCCTGTCTGTAGAGTTCAATGGTAAGCCTGTCTGTAGAGTTCAAACGGTAAGCCTGTCTGGGAGCCTTAATTCTCTCACAGCATCCAGCCTAGCTGACTCCATGATATTCTCCTGATTTATGACCATTGATTTTGTCACCCTAATTCTGACCATCCTACAAGGGTAAAAACTCCAATACATTTTGAACAGATTATGATAGAGACATTAACATATTATTTTACCCATTGGTCAAAATATGTGTTTTTGATTGGATACTCTTAAAAACACAACGTTTACATGAAAAGACAGCGTACCGTTAAAAAACGCAATACTTTCAACATGAGTCATCAACAAAACCAACGAAACCAGGGCTACAGTGCAACGCTTTCCCATCGTCCATTTTGTTAATGAACAACAGGCACAAAGGAAACGATAAGCGCTGTCATTATTATTCAGATTCACGACTCTCCCACTCTATCTTACCCTTCCTTTTGATTCCAAGCAATGCGTTTCATCCCACACAGAAAGCTAGCCGGCTTTCTGACACCTAACAAATTCTCTTCTTTCACTAAAGCCTCCTCTTCTCACTCCTCTGTTGCGTCCCAAATGGCACCCCTATTCCCTTTATAGTGCACTACCTTTGACCAGGGTCCATAGGGCTTTGGTTAAAAGTAGTGCATTATATAGGGAATAGTGTGCCATTTGGGATGCATCCCTCTTCGCAAATCAAATGGGTCTGTTTTGATCATTAAGCCAGCAGGCGTCCAATGTGGATAGTGGGCTGTTACACAACCTGGGATGTTATTTTATACTGTGTCTAACTCCTTTTTAGGGCTTTCATTTCAATAGGCAAAGTAATCAGGAGCTCATTAATTTAATATGACACCATCTGGTCGTTTACCTGATCGACAGGCGATGTCCACGTCTTTCTCAAAGTCCGTCTGTTGGGGGAGAAAATACAAAAGTGGTGAAAATACGGTCAGACAGATTTACATTTCAGCTTTGACACAACAGAATATGTCATATAATGTGACGCTGCCACAGATGTGAAGTGACAGGCACATACACATGCACATGTCTGGTTTAATGTTTTAAAAACCTAGCAAAGTTAAACCTTTATGTGTATTTTCCTTTTCATGCTGTTATGTTATGAATCTGCCAGTTCTGACTGTTATGTTATGAATCTGCCAGTTCTGATTGTTATGTTATGAATCTGCCAGTTCTGACTGTTATGTTATGAATCTGCCAGTTCTGACTGTTATGTTATGAATCTGCCAGTTCTGATTGTTATGTTATGAATCTGCCAGTTCTGACTGTTATGTTATGAATCTGCCAGTTCTGACTGTTATGTTATGAATCTGCCAGTTCTGACTGTTATGTTATGAATCTGCCAGTTCTGACTGTTATATTATGAATCTGCCAGTTCTGACTGTTATGTTATGAATCTGCCAGTTCTGATTGTTATGTTATGAATCTGCCAGTTCTGATTGTTATGTTATGAATCTGCCAGTTCTGACTGTTATGTTATGAATCTGCCAGTTCTGACTGTTATGAATCTGCCAGTTCTGACTGTTATGAATCTGCCAGTTCTGACTGTTATATTATGAATCTGCCAGTTCTGACTGTTATGTTATGAATCTGCCAGTTCTGACTGCTATGTTATGAATCTGCCAGTTCTGACTGTTATATTATGAATTTGCCAGTTCTGACTGTTATATTATGAATCTGCCAGTTCTGACTGCATTATTTGCACTGGCAAAGCTAAGATGGCTGCCATTGTCATTTTGGTAGACTATCCCTTTAATGGGGCATGTCCCTTTAAGAAAAAAGTAGCTGTTTGGGGAAATGTTTGGCTTGTACCTGGCTGAGGTTCTATTTGTGTGGAAAACTTTTTAAGCACAGGAGGCTGCTGAGGGGAGTACAGCTCATAATAATGGCTGGAATGGAGTAAATGGAATGGCATCATGGAAACCATGTGTTTGATGTGTTGGATACCAATCCATTAACTCCCGTTCCATCCATTACTATGAGCCCGTCCTCCCCAATTAAGGTGCCACCGGCCACCTGTGCTTTTAAGCAACTTAGATTTAACCACTCCAGGGAATTATTTTTGTTTATTATTGTTGATTTTTACTCCTACTTGGAGGATGAAATTTAGCTGTTGTGAGAAAATCTCCCCCAGGCCGGATTTCCCTCTCCCTCAACCATCCGGTGAGATCTATCCCGGTGATTGTATTTTTATTTGAATTAATTGTATTTTTGCATTTTGAAGGGGGATTGCTAATTTTTACCTTTTGATTGACTTTGGGACTATTTTCTGTTAGGATTCTATTTGGGATTTTTTCTTCCTGAACTTTATTTTGGGTCTATTTGAATTGGTTTTGTGAAATGATACACATTCTATGACAATATGCTGATGTTTCTCACTGTATTCATTTAGTCTGTCTTGTTTTAGTCACCTTCATATATATATATATATATATATATAGTATTTCTTTGAACTTTAATATTGTAGCATTGTTTGAGATCCAAGTTGATTGTTACAATATGATATCATAAATGAAACCTAGAGCAACTCCAGCTACATGCATTGTTGAGATTAAGTCAATAGAAAAATATTTTGCCTATCCTTTGATATCTGATTAAACATGTCATCATTATATAGGAGTAGTTTCATTGCATCTATCTATTGCCTTTCCCTGTTTGGGTCAGTTACTGTCAAGTTAAAGGTCCTATACTTCACTGCTCCATTCACAACAATATGGCAATACGCATGTAAAAGGGATTTTATAGCACTAAAACAGCAGTCGGGAAGCAATCACTGTTTGTTCTCTGCAAATTATACTATTGAACCGGGGGCACCCCGACAGCCAACACACCATTCTACAACGGTGGAAATTAATTCAATCTGAGTAGGAGGATATTAGGATATTAGAATGCAAACGATGGGAAGATCAGACGATAGATATGATGAGCGAAGGCCGTTGGCAGTTGGCGTTCTGCTGGATCAAGAGATTTGGTGTGGCGTTACAAAGGTCATTCAAAGAACTGGTGCTTAATTATGTGTGTTGGGGGGGGGCTGGAGAGGGGGCTCTGTAAATGAAAGACGCTTGACGAAAGTGACAAATAAGTTCAATCAAACTGGAAGTAGGATAACGGAAAATGGATCTCATTTATTAATGTGTGTGTGCATGTGCGTGTGTGTGTGTAATGTATTACAGGGGCCAGGGCCACATGCGGCTGTACACTGTGTGTAACTACAGTTGAACTAAAGCAGCTATCTGTAAAACGATGGGTAACAATGCCTCATCCAGCCGAACCAGCAGAATTGGAATTTCAGTTTACTTCCTTAATTGGCTGAAATGGAATGGACCCCAAACCCTGCTATGAAGGCTTGTCTTGAGGGTATATAATACTATACCCTTTTCACACTGAGCTGAGCCAAGGCGATCCCTGCCGAGCCGTACTGCACTGGCCTGGTTACGCATCCACCACAGTTGCTGGAAACATACTGGAAAGGACAATGTGAAAAGAATGTATCGTAGCCAGAGCCAGCACAGTACGGTTCAGTTCAGTCCTATAGTGTGAATCAGCTGTTAGGGGCAAATCCTAACCTCCACTTAAGTGGAATTTTCACTTGGGGTATGTCCCAAATGACACCCTATTACCTGGTCGAAAGTAGTGCACTATATAGGGAATAGGGTGCAATTTCAGACGTAGTCTCATTGACATCAATTAAACATTTTACTCGTGAAAATGTGGATTTGCTCCTTTGTCTCAAATATAAAGGCAGGTATAGGCTTTGGTTGAGCGCAGAGGAGGCTGGTGAGGGGAGGACAGCTCATAATAATGGATGGAATGAAGTGAATGGAATGGTATCAAACACATGGAAACCAGGTGTTTGATGTGTTTGAGACCATTCCATTTATTCCGTTCCATCCATTACCACGAGCCCGTCCTCCCCATTGGAAATGCCACCAGACACCACTAGGTTGAGGGTTATACTGGTGTTGCTTACCATAATCTGAGCATGACCGTTGGGGAAAGTTCCAGTGTTGTCAGCATTGAGGGGGTCTTGACAGTTTCTGGGGTCCTGACAGTTTCTGAGACGACATCTGAAAGCATCTTGGACCTGGGGAAAGTGAGGCACCATAGAAGTAGTATTATTATTATTATAAGTAGTATTAGAGCACATTAGTATAACATGATATATAATGTGTATTTTAGTTTCTGACATGCTATGGCCATGACTCTAGAGAGTAAAGAAAAAACCATGCTCTATTGTTCCTGCTGTAACCTTGACCTTGCTCACAGTAATTACAGCTACTTTCCAAAGGGGAGGGGCAAGTTAACAGGAAAGTGATCTGGAGTTAATCTGGTCCAGATCACTAATCTCCTAATCATCTCCTAATAAATACTGTAGTTAGGGCCAAACGGGAAACAGGAAGTGTGAGTGTGTGTGGGGCAACACGAGATAAGAGGGATTAAACATGTATAAGGGTCAACAAAACGTAGTGACACAGGGTGTGACCTGGGGCATGTTCATTTGGCACCGAACGTAAAATAGATCAAATGGGGAGGTTCTATCTGAATTGGTCTAATAAGAAACCTTAATTTTTATATCCTGTTGGAAAGTATTTTTGAAAATCATTTTTCTATGGTGTGCACTATGAACAGAATCCTACTAAAAGAGTATCCCCTTCTCCCTAACCCATACCTCCCTCTCCCTCCTTCCCTCCCCCTCTCCTTCCCTCACTTCCCCAATACCTCCTCCTCTCCCTCCTCTCCCTCCTATCTACCTCCTCCATCCCCTCCCCTCTCCCCTCCCCTCCTCTCTCCCTCCCCTCCTCTCTCCCTCCTCTCTCCCTCCTCTCTCCCCTCCTCTCTCCCTCCTCCTTACCTCTTTCCTCAGGATACAGTGCACCATGACGATGACGAAGCCCTGCAACGAGTCGAAGACAGAGAAGAGGATCTGAAATAGGATGGAGCGCTTGTCTGTCATGGCCAGCACTGCAGACATCCAGGTCAGAGCCAGCAGAGGCAGAACCACACAGGAACTCCACAGAGAGGCCCTGAGGGAGGGAGGGAGAGGCGGGAGAGGGAGGGAGGGAGGGAGGGGGAGGGAGAGGGAGGGAGGGAGACAGGGGATAGAGGGTAAGGTAAGTGTCTGCATTACCACCTGACACACATCAGATCATAGAAGACATTACTGCCTGGCCAGACTACTACAGCGGTCTCTCTTGTTGATAGAAGACATTACTGCCTGGCCAGACTAATGATTCACATTGCCAGCAACTCAGTCTAGGAAGACATACAGAAGCACCAGAAACACCATCTACTGTTTATGAACAGATACTCTGTTACCAGCTAGTGTTCTGTTGTCTCTCTGACATACAAGACATTACTGTCTGACTGCCCAGTACTCTACTATAGGTCTAACATTACTGTCTGACTGCCCAGTACTCTACTATAGGTCTAACATTACTGTCTGACTGCCCAGTACTCTACTATAGGTCTAACATTACTGTCTGACTGCCCAGTACTCTACTATAGGTCTAACATTACTGTCTGACTGCCCAGTACTCTACTATGGGTCTAACATTACTGTCTGACTGCCCAGTACTCTACTATAGGTCTAACATTACTGTCTGACTGCCCAGTACTCTACTATAGGTCTAACATTACTGTCTGACTGCCCAGTACTCTACTATAGGTCTAACATTACTGTCTGACTGCCCAGTACTCCACTATAGGTCTAACATTACTGTCTGACTGCCCAGTACTCTACTATAGGTCTAACATTACTGTCTGACTGCCCAGTACTCTACTATAGGTCTAACATTACTGTCTGACTGCCCAGTACTCTACTATAGGTCTAACATTACTGTCTGACTGCCCAGTACTCTACTATAGGTCTAACATTACTGTCTGACTGCCCAGTACTCTACTATAGGTCTAACATTACTGTCTGACTGCCCAGTACTCTACTATAGGTCTAACATTACTGTCTGACTGCCCAGTACTCTACTATAGGTCTAACATTACTGTCTGACTGCCCAGTACTCTACTATAGGTCTAACATTACTGTCTGACTGCCCAGTACTCTACTATGGGTCTAACATTACTGTCTGACTGCCCAGTACTCTACTATAGGTCTAACATTACTGTCTGACTGCCCAGTACTCTACTATAGGTCTAACATTACTGACTGCCCAGTACTCTACTATAGGTCTACCATTACTGTCTGACTACCCAGTACTCTACTATAGGTCTAACATTACTCTCTGACTGCCCAGTACTCTACTATAGGTCTAACATTACTGTCTGACTGCCCAGTACTCTACTATAGGTCTAACATTACTGTCTGACTGCCCAGTACTCTACTATGGGTCTAACATTACTGTCTGACTGCCCAGTACTCTACTATAGGTCTAACATTACTGTCTGACTGCCCAGTACTCTACTATAGGTCTAACATTACTGTCTGACTGCCCATTACTCTACTATAGGTCTAACATTACTGTCTGACTGCCCAGTATTCTACTATAGGTCTAACATTACTGTCTGACTGCCCAGTACTCTACTATAGGTCTAACATTACTGTCTGACTGCCCAGTACTCTACTATAGGTCTAACAAGGTCTTTCTCCAGACCATCAGACCATAGCAGTCTCAGTTGAGGAAGGAATACAGCTACATCTATGCAAGGACACATATGCTGCCCTGTTTATTCTCTGTAGCGCTACCAAGGTCTTGGTCCAGACACACAGACCATCAGACGAGTCATACACACACACACACACAGCTAATCTTTTATTAATTCCCCCTGCCAGGCATCGATGTACTGTAAGACAGCACTTACATGGCATTGCTGGCTGTAGTTGCAGAGAGAGCAGTTGTGGACACCACACCACATTTGGCACATTTCAGAGTTAACCCTGTATGGGGCTCGTTCATCGGTCTGTGGGACAACAAACAACAAGAAAACAACAGGAAATAGTGTTAGTGAAGAAGCAGCGCTAGGACTAGCATAGCATTCCAACTGTTCTATCATACAAGATGTGGACACTAGTGATGATAGTAGTGAAGAAGCAGCACTACACCATCCCAACGTTCTCTATCATGTTAGTAGTAACCAGGGCCAATTTGTCAGTGTTTTTAAGGGAAAACAGTAGCACCCACAACTTTTCATATAGTAGTAGCCAGACAGACGTGTGTTAGCGTGGGTGTTGTAGAGGGCTTTAGGATTAACACGCATCAAGAGGACGACATAACATAACGTTTGTGAAAAAAAAACATCACTAGGAATGGAATCCCAACTTTCTCTATCACACAAGTAGTAGTCAGGCAGGGCCAAAGTGTTTTAACAACGCATTACAAGATGACATAAGGCTGGTCTATGGACTGTCTGTGGACAGTTGGCACATTCTAGTGGGCTACAGGCATGTTGTTAGACCAAGTATAAACCAGTCTTTACGTGGTGCTTTTTTAGAGGGATTCTGGTGTACCAACCAACAAGAAGACAACAGAAAATAACACATTCCAACTCTCTGTATCATGTTAGTAATAGTCAGGGCCAATCTGGGGATGTGTGTGGGCGGTGGGCGTTTTAAAGGATTTTCATCATGGACTGATTCTGCCACGTCTCCACACACACACACACACACACACACACACACACACACACACACACACACACACACACACACACACACACACACACACACACACACGTCGTCTCCCCCAGAGAGATGTGACCTCTTTATGTTGATGTTCTCCCATCAGCCAGAGTAAAGAACGAGGTCTTATCTCCATGTGGAAAATGAAGACATCCAGAAGGTGTGGGTGAATGTGTAGTGAGGAGGAGTCAGACTATTATGTCAACTAAAGGACTAGAGAAGTAGGCCGCTGCAGATCTTAAGAGAGCTACACAGTCAACAGTCCAGCCAACCTGCAGGTAAACAACAAGCACTTCAATGTCCATAGACGTAAGTATAACCAGTTACTGTCTGTCTTTGTCGTGTATCACAATGTATTTTGTAAGTAGGTGGTTTCTTACCCAGCTGCTTCAGACATACTACAGGTCATAGAAATATAATAAAATAGAGCTTCTCTTTGCTGTAGGTGGTTTCTTACCCAGCTCGATGCTTCGGCTTCTTCTCCAGAATCCCGTCTCTGGAGACCAGCTTGTTGAACACCAGGATGCCAATCACCATGTTGACCTGTTTATAGAGAAGGAATACCTTTATATATCTATTACAGTTTTTTTCAATTGCTTAAGCACAATTTTGAAAACAGGGCCCGGTTTTTCAAACCCCTTCACACAATTAGCACAACACTACACCAAAGTAGCACAACACCTCAGATCATTTGCAAAATTGAACACTTTTGTCAAAACTATACAATGTCTTATAAAAACCTTATTTTGTTGTCATAACATAAACCCAACCATAATAAGCCATTTAGCAGACGCTTTTATCCAAAGCGACTTACAGTCATGCGTGCATACATTTTCTGTGTATGGGTGGTCCCGGGGATCGAACCCAATACCCTGGCGTTACAAGCGCCGTGCTCTACCAGTTGAGCTACAGAGAACCACAACCATCATATGGTCTGATTCTGTTTGAATCAGTTAAACACTCCTGTGCTCAACCTAAAACACTTTCAGCATTTACACAGAGAAAGTGTCAAAATAAATTCACCAACACCACATGACAACAATTGTGCAGACTAATGAAAATATTTCTTTATTTTCATGTACTCAAGTCAGTCAATACTGAACATTTCAACAAAACATTCATAACAAAACATTTTCCAGTTTTCATACAGTATTTCTGAACGTACCATAAGCTTACAATAATACTGTAACATAAATTACATATCCAGTTCAGTACCGAATAAAAAAGAAAAATAACCTAAACATCTCTCCGCCTAGCTGGATCTGGCCACAGGGCCTCGTCAACATCACAGGCTATATTTTCATTTGCAAGGCAACGTGGGAAGAATCTTTTGGAGTGACGAATCCACTCTTGTATGGATGCTGCTTCAATTTGATCACATGCTTCCACTATAGCTTGAATGAGGGCCATCTGGACATAGGGCCGGAGATCATAAACCTTCCACCGCCATGCTGAGAAGAACTCCTCGATTGCATTATTGGCCAAAACAAGGTTTATGATGTCTCTCGCTTGCTCCTGTGTAAATATGGGGCCCCTCCCTCCTTGGTGTTCTCGACATTCAATCCTATGTTGGCCAAACAAAATACATGTAGCTTACTGTAAAATGATACAGGAATAGATACCAAACTGTTGATATAGTACATGCAGTAAGCTATGGATTTTCTGTTGACAGAAGATACGTTTCTCACCTGTGCTCTTGACGAAATGTCTGAACTATTGATGACACCGTGTACCTGCTTAGGTCAGGCTGTACTCTCAGTCCAGCCTCCCTCAGTGTTAGTCCGTGGTTTATTACATGGTCCACAATTGTAGCACGAATTTCGTTACACAGATTTGGTTGTCTTCTTCTTTGTGCATGTCCTACCCCTCCTCCAGGTCTTCCTCTTCCTCTTCCTCTTCCTCTCCCTCTCCCTCTCCCTCTCCCTCTTCCTCTTCCTCTTCCTCTTCCTCTTCCTCTGACACCGTCCATTTTTTTTAAAGACGTGAACTTACCTGTTGCCTTTTTATAGTGCTTAAACCTGATTGGTGTGTCTACAATTAAGCTCCAGTGTGTGTGCACACCTGGTGGCTGTGTTTAACTAATTGGTTCATGGGTGTGTTCATTTGAAAGCCTTTGCTTTGAAATTGCAAGGAAATGACATCATGATACATTTCTGTGTCAAATGCATACAAGTGTGTGTAGTGTTTTGCAAATCACTGTGTGTAATGTTTTGCAAAAAGTGTGAAGCTGACAATGTGCTTACAGTTGAGCAAATCTAGGCTGGTGTTTTGCTCCTTGAGTGTAAGGTTTTGCTAATTGTGGGAAAGTTTTAATTTTAGTGTGTAAGCAATTGAAAAAAACTGTAATATACCTGAGGGAAACCTGAATATATCTAGTCATATACCTGAGGGAAACCTGAATATATCTAGTCATATACCTGAGGGAAACCTGAATATATCTAGTCATATACCTGAGGGAAACCTGAATATATCTAGTCATATACCTGAGGGAAACCTGAATATATCTAGTCATATACCTGAGGGAAACCTGAATATATCTAGTCATATACCTGAGGGAAACCTGAATATATCTAGTCATATTCCTGAGGGAAACCTGAATATATCTAGTCATATACCTGAGGGAAACCTGAATATATCTAGTCATATACCTGAGGGAAACCTGAATATATCTAGTCATATACCTGAGGGAAACCTGAATATATCTAGTCATATACCTGAGGAAACCTGAATATATCTAGTCATATACCTGAGGGAAACCTGAATATATCTAGTCATATACCTGAGGGAAACCTGAATATATCTAGTCATATACCTGAGGGAAACCTGAATATATCTAGTCGTATTGGGCGGCAGGTAGCCTAGCAGTTAAGAGCGTTAGGCTAGTAACTGAAAGGTCGCTGGTTTGAATCCCAGAGATGACTGAAAATATCTAACTAGTTAGTTACACTCTCTCATGTTCACCTGTTTATAGAGAAAATAGGTGTAACTGGTGGGAATCAAACCTGGCTCTCACCAACCCAACTCCATTAGACTAAGAGGACACTGTCAAGGTCCGAAGGGTGACATTTACATTTTCATTGAGGGGAAACAAGGCAGGTTTGGGGTCAATTCCATTTCAATACAGGAAGTAAACTGAAATTTGGATTCCAACTCCAATTTTTCTAATGAAATGGACCCCAGCCCTGTAATAAGGTGAGGGAACAATGTCATATCTAAAGACACTTGTGTACTTCAGGACAGTTAGCTGCATCAGTATCTCAATATGATGTTATTATCCTTGTGAAATACAAAAGGTGTTTGACATCATTAGTGTACCGTAGACATGATTTATTTCCTCCATTCTTCCTCTCCTCTATTTCCAGTCCCTGCTGCTGCTGCTGTGTTGTCATGTGACCTCTAGGGTTGCATGGCTTACTCATGGCGTTGACATTTACTAACTCGACAGACCTGACCTCTATGCTCCCCTCAAGCCAACATAAGAGCCTTCAGGGAGGCTTTGTCTGTCTGACAGCAGATTCTGTTATTTTCTAAAGCAAAGGCACCTCCTTAGACAAACAGTAACTCCAGCACTGTACCAACAGTATTGTAATAATTGCCCCTTGTGGGATATATCAAGTATTCTGAATTTAATTGAATCAGTGCTTACTGCTTTGATTAAAAAACTGCAAGATTTTGGAAGGAGGCTACAGTCTTAGAAAAAAGGGTTCCAAAAGAGAAAAAAGGGTTCCAAAAGAGAAAAAAGGGTTCCAAAACAGCTAGCCCCATAGGAGAACCCTTTTGGGTTCCAGGTAGAACCCTTTTGAGTTCAATGTAGAACCTTCTGCGGAAAGGTTTTTTCAATGGAACCCAAAAGGGTTCTTCATAGGGTTATCCTATGGGGACAGTCGAAGAACCCTTTTGGGTTACAGATAGCACCTTGTTTTTCTAAGAGTGTAGACAGTGATTGTAATAATTACTAAGAATTGACGTTTCTTTCAGCAAATAGTCACAGTTGTACTAAATGGATGAATAACCAACAATGCAATGAATGAGTAGCCTATGTTAGTGTCTATGTTTTATATTTGATAGTATGCATGCTCATCTCGCCTGCAAACCAATATTCTGTATGGGATAATTAAGACATCTTGAACCTTGAATAGTACTTAACCTAAACATACAGTGATACTGCAAGCCTTCTCCCTTTTAATGAGTAGATAAGCACTGTAATACTATAACACATACTTTAATCAGTAGTACTGTAATACTATAATATGTACTTTAATCAGCAGTACTGTAATACTATAATACATACTTTAATCAGCAGTACTGTAATACTGTAATATGTACTTTAATCAGGGGTACTGTAATACTATAATATGTATTTTAATCAGCAGTACTGTAATACTATAATATGTGCTTTAATCAGCAGTACTGTAATACTATAATACATACTTTAATCAGCAGTACTGTAATAGTATAATATGTACTTTAATCAGCAGTATTGTAATACTATAATATGTACGTTAATCAGCAGTACTGTAATACTATATAATATGTACTTTAATCAGCAGTACTGTAATACTATAATATGTACTTTAATCAGCAGTACTGTAATACTATAATATGTACTTTAATCAGCAGTACTGTAATACTATAATATGTACTTTAATCAGCAATACTGTAATACTATAATACATACCAGAACCACTGCTGCTGCCGGTCCAACAAAGGCATACAGGAGACCACCTTCTAGAGATAGCCAGCAGCTGTAGAGAGAGGAGAGGAGGAGAGGAGAGGAGAGGAGGAGTAGAGAGAAGATAGGACAGAGTAGGAGGATAGGAGAGGAGGGAGTGGAGGAGACGACGCAGGTCGGACATAGACAGAGAGAGCTCTCTTCCTTCTAGATCTATTCTCGGCGAGCGCTTAGCTGCTCTTCTTTCGCTTCCTTCCTCGACTTCTCTCCTCTATCAGCTAGCGAACCAACTCCCACAAAGAAATTAACACCCAGAATCACATCAAATGAATGGTGCACAGCTGCATACAGTTGTATTACCCTCCAGTGTGAATGGAGTACTAGCTAGCATATGCTGTGGTTCTACTTCAGAAAGTTTTACTGGAGAATAAAATGCTAAAGAGAGTTTTAAAACATTGTTTATGTACTAGTATTCAGCTGGGACACAACTTAGGAGCAAATGGGGTATTGTCAGAATCTTTTAAAATGCCCTCTGGGATTGTCTTGGGGGTTTTGTCAGGTTTGTAGGGTTCACCCTAGTCTGGGTTAGGAAACCCACTTGTTTCTGCTCAGGCTGTGCAGAGAAGAGACTTAATATAAGTTAAAGATTTGGTTGGCTGTCGCCTTGCAGGACTGCTCATAAGAGACTAGGTATGCTTTTTCCAACTGGATTTAGTTCACACCAACATTTGAAGGGGACACAGCATGATAATAGGGATTCTGAAGGTTTTACTGAGGGGTTTGAAGAAGATGAAGAGTTTATTTCCAAAACGCTACAGTATATCCACGTGTGTTTTCTCATCAGAAATGATTGCTTATGGGTACCTTCATGTGTGTGTAAAATATTACTGCTCTCAGATTTTTTATTTATATATTTTAGATGTGAATTAAAATGTAATTATTTTGCAAAACGCTATATATTCATTGTTTAGCTGGAATGGAATGTTGGTATCCTGTATATTTGACTGTGATATGTGGTTGTCTCACCTAGCTATCTTAAGATGAAGGCACTACCTGTAAGTCGCTCTGGATAAGAGCATCTGAAATGACTAAAATATAAAATGTAAATGACATATAGATCTCATGGTACTGTATATCTATATATACAGTACCAGTCAAAAGTTTGGACACATCTACTCATTCAAGGGTTTTTATTTTATTTTTCACTATTTTCTACATTGTAGAATAATAGTGAAGACATCAAAACTATGAAATAACACATATGGAATCATGTAGTAACCAAAAAAGTGTTAAACAAATCAAAATATATTTTATATTTGAGATTCTTCAAATAGCCACCCTTTGCCTAGATGACACCTTTGCACACTCTTGGCATTCTCTCAACCCTTGAATGAGTAGGTATGTCCAAACTTTTGACTGGTAGTGTGTATATATATATATATATATATATATATTATTATTATTATCTTTTAAACATTTTTTTAATACTGATGCCACAAATATATCATTTGTACAGTTCTTTATTATATATGTAGTTATTTGTTATTTTTGCTGTGTAAAACCTAGCAGTACTACTGATTTCTCTGAGAGGGAGGCAGATATACAGTACAGTGTTTTGCAAAAAAACGTTATTATTTGTCTCTCTGAAATGAAACCATTAAGTGATAGATTTGAAACGAATACATGTGTCATTGAACAACCCCATGCCATGATTATATAGTGAAAAAACACACCAATCTCTTTCATAAGTTCTTTAAACAATAAAAGCTAATTTACCAACATTTCTGAAAATGAAACTCTTCAGATTTAAATGACCATTGACATAATTAGTATGAGGTTTTACAAATTGAAACAATTACATTTTGGGATATAGAGAGTGATTACCATTAGCAAACACCACACGTTATAAATTATCATCATTACCAAAATATCAGAACTACCAAGGTGACACATAGGTAGACAGAAGTGAGATAAAACATACTATTGGGGTGTCCCATAGCCTTTTGCTTTCGTGAATCCCATTGAGATGGCAACCACTAAGGCAGGTAATCCTGAAAAAGAGTAGAATGAATACATGAATAACAAGAGAGGCAGTTCTGGTTCTGGTTCTGTTTCATTGTGCCGTACGGTCTTTATACAGAATGTGCAGGTTAACTATCTCCACCATCATTAGCGCCATAGATTGCAATGTTCTGCAGATAGAACTCCAGTCATCATAAGTAGCATAGTGTATTTAAAGATAGAATCCTTAGTTGCTACATCCATTTTTGGTTTTATAAATTAATGATATATACCCATTGATTCTTGAAGAATATAACTTATAAATGCCTCATGAGCTTAGTTCACCTGTCGCACCCCATCAGAACCCTAAATAGAAGCTTGTTTACTCCAATGTTTGTAAACACTGTAAATGTAAACAGACACTGCATAACCTCAACACACGGTTAAAACTATCATGTTGATTTCATGTATGGTCAATCCTTGCATCCGTAGCTCTGTCCATGAATTTGAATGTGGTTACATTTCTTCAGGCCCACCCCTCAGCCTTTTTCCAAAGCAGAGGAGGGGTGACCGCTTTGATATTGTTTCAATGAAGGATTCTAGCTTTAATAGCAGTGCTACCTACACACACAGTAGCATAATTCACAATGAAAACAATGAATAAGCGCTATGACAGACTGCTGTGGGTTTCCCTCTCTCTAGTGCATGGGGCTTGTTCCCCCTCTAAACCACCCCATAATGCATTGCTGTTATGGATTGTTGCATTCCATCCTGCCTGCAGTATATGTGCCTGCCTGGAATATTAACACCTTCCCTCTTGGCACAGCCCGGGAACACACACGCACGCACGCACGCACGCACGCACGCACGCACGCACGCACGCACGCACGCACGCACGCACGCACGCACGCACGCACGCACGCACGCACGCACGCACGCACGCACGCACGCATGTATGGAGCTATGGCATAAATCACCTAACCTCCAGAGCACTGATCTGCTCTACACACATGTTCATATAAGCACATGCTAAGCACACACACCAACAGTGCTTGATTTACTGTAAAAAAAAAAACAAGGAATATTTACAATCTGAACAAGACAAGCAAATCAATTCTTACTGTAAACTATAAACCCCCACAGAGACCTTGGATGATACTGAACACTTGCAGTTCAAAAACCAACATTTATAATTGATGCTTGAGGATTGTATTGGTGCTTCAAATATTTTTCATAACTGTTGACTCATACTTTTCTTTCATTGGTTGAACATCTTTCATAGCAAACAAACACTTGCATGTTTCTGACAGTATCGTATGCTCACAGAGATGCTACAATGGATGAGTCTACAGAGATGCTACAATGGATGAGTCTACAGAGATGCTACAATGGATGAGTCTACAGAGATGCTACCATGGATGAGTCTACAGAGATACTACAATGGATGAGTCTACAGAGATGCTACAATGGATGAGTCTACAATAGATGCTACAATGGATGAGTCTACAATGGATGCTACAATGGATGAGTCTACAGAGATGCTACAATGGATGAGTCTACAATGGATGCTACAATGGATGAGTCTACAATGGATGCTACAATGGATGAGTCTACAGAGATGCTACAATGGATGAGTCTACAGAGAAGCTACAATGGATGAGTCTACAGAGATGCTACAATGGATGAGTCTACAGAGATGCTACAATGGATGAGTCTACAGAGTAGCCACGATGGATGAGTCTACAGAGATGCTAAAATTGATGAGTCTACAATGGATGCTACAATGGATGAGTCTACAGAGAAGCTACAATGGATGAGTCTACAGAGAAGCTACAATGGATGAGTCTACAGAGATGCTACAATGGATGAGTCTACATCGATGCTACTATTGATGAGTTTACTGTCATTTGTTCTCAGACTCATCCTCTCATTGATGTTCTGTGCAGTTGCAGGAGAAAAGATACAGCACAGATACAACAAATCTATTACCTGCTCTCCTAACATGACCATACAACGTCTAACCTTCTAACATCGAGCAAGACCACCCGTTTCTATCAGACATTCCACATTTACATTTAGCCTGTCTTTACATATCAGCTTTTACCTTTACACTTAAAGAACATCTCTCTCTCTCTCTTTCTCTCTCTCTCAGCCAGTAGCTCAGCCTAGAACTGCAATGACAAATAAAGAGAGAGAGACTTTTTTGTTGCTAGGTAACAGGAGGAATGAGTGTGTGGGCTCTTTCGTAATCAATTGGATTCTTAAAAGAGATTTCGGAAGTGTCTTTACTGTAGGTAAATTGTAATTATTTTGCACTATGGCCTATTTATTGCCTTACCTCCATAACTTACTACATTCGCACACACTGTATATATATTTTCTGTTGTATTTTTGACTTTATGCTTTGTTTACCCCATATGTAACTCTGTGTTGTTGTTTTTATCGCACTGCTTTGCTTTATCTTGGCCAGGTCGCAGTTGTAAATGAGAACTTGTTCTCAACTGGCCTACCTGGTTAAATAAAGGTAAAATAAAAAAATAGGTAAGAGGTCCTTGGATGAGAGGTCAGTATGACATACAGGTTCAACTAGAGGTCTTCACGGATCCACCTGTACCCGAATACCTGAGACCCGATCCGGGACTCGAGCGGGTCCAGATACAGAATTCTAAATAATGTCACAGGTCTGGGTCGGATCTGATATGATTGTCATGGGTCTCAGGTATGTGTATGTAATTTTAACTGACTTCTGCAGTAGCGAGAGAGAGAAATTGTTGCTGACTGGATCCGACCAAGTCTATACTGAACGTCTAGTCTCGTCTCTCGGGTCGTCTCTGAAGGGGTCTCTCTATCTTTTTTTTTTTCTCATTCGGGTCTGTGGACGGGAAAGCCTCAGGCCATTTAAAAAGGTCGAAAACAGCCTAGGTTTCAACGTACATTAGCAGAGGGTTGTTCTTCTGTTTAGCCGTAACAAAACAGACAACAACTACAAAGAAGCCTGTGAAAACGACTGCATTGCCGGTCATCTCGCTATCAGTCCAGTCGTTATCGTCTACCTTTCCCCCCCCCCCCCCTTTTTCCCTTTTAGCCCCCTCCCCCCCCCCCCCCCCCCGGGGGTGGGTTTCCCTTTTTCCCCCTCTTTTTCCCCCCGCCCCCCCCCCTTCCCTTCCCCCCTCCCCTTCCCCCCGCCCCCCCCCCGCCCCCAATTTTTCCCCCCCCCGGGCCCCCCCCCCCTTTCCCACCCCTAAACCCCGGTTTTGTCCTTGTTCCCCCCCCCGGGTTTTTTCCCCCCCCAAAGGGGTTTTTTCCCCGGGGGAAAAAATTTAAACCGGGGGTTTTTTTTTTTAACCCGGGGGGTTTTTCCCCCCACTTCGTTAAACCCCGGGCCTTTTAGGGGGGGCCCCGGGTTAAATGCAATAAAATAAGGCGGGTTTTCCTTGGATGGGGTCGGGGGGGGTTGGCCTTGTAACAATGGTTAGAAACTGAAGTGTCTTACGAAAATGGTACCTGGAATATGTACCGAATCCGTTGAGTCTCCTCTCTATTTATTTATTTTAATTCTCCGGGACCGGATGGGGGTCCAATGAGGAACCCATTCTCAGTACTGTCACCGGTCGGGGTTAAACGGTCGGATGGGGCGGAAAAAACTCTAGGGGTCCGGGAAAGCGTACTGAGGACCGGGGTCGAAAGCGAGAGAGCAGGAGAAAGTGAGAAGAGGGATCTCATACTCATTCTCTCGAGCATTCTCTATCTCTCTCTCTCTCCTTCTCCTCTTTCTCTCTCTCCTTCTCTCTCTCTCTCTCTTCTCTCTCTCTCTCTCTCTCTCTCTCTGTGGCCTGATGTATATCTATATAGAAATACTTTAATAATAATCATACATGCACTAGTTTCCTTTATCACTTAGTAGCAGAGCGGTGTCTTCTAGTTTAGCTCGTTGTACCATAAAAAGACAACAACAACAACAGAAGCCTTGTGCTACAACACTGCATATGCCTGGGTTCCATCCTAGCTATCAGCCATGTCGTAGTGAACTCCTATGAGGAAATAACCACCAGGCTAGCTCGTCAATCTCCCTACAGCCCAAGGGAAGTCCATTTACAGATCCCTGGGAGAGTTGGAACGGAGAGAGCACATCAGCACTGCAACACAGAACCTAGCTGACAGGAGGACGACAGATGAGGAGAGAGGGAGAGATGAGAGAGAAACAGAGAGAGAAACAGAGACAGATATATAGAGGGGCCCAAAGACAGATATCAGAGAAACCAAGACTTTCTGTAGTCATGACCCAGGAGACACACACTCAGAGAAAAGGGAGGGGCAGAGAGATAAATAGACGCATTAAAGAACAGACCTACGAATCAATAGAGAGAGACCAAGGCATTTCAGAGTCATGACCCATGAGACAGAGACACTCTCCCCATCCCAGACAGAGACACTCTCCCCATCCCAGACAGAGACACTCTCCCCATCCCAGACAGAGACACTCTCCCCATCCCAGACAGAGACACTCTCCCTATCCCAGACAGAGACACTCTCCCCATCCCAGACAGAGACAGAGACACTCTCTCCATCCCAGACAGAGACAGAGACACTCTCCACATCCCAGACAGAGACACTCTCCCCATCCCAGACAGAGACACTCTCCCCATCCCAGACAGAGACACTCTCCCCATCCCAGACAGAGACACTCTCCCCATCCCAGACAGAGACACTCTCCCCATCCCAGACAGAGACACTCACCCCCCATCCCAGACAGAGACACTCATCCCATCCCAGACAGAGACACTCACCCCATCCCAGACAGAGACACTCACCCCATCCCAGACAGAGACACTCACCCCATCCCAGACAGAGACACTCACCCCATCCCAGACAGAGGAACCTCTTCCTGATGAGCCTGGTGCGGACCTTCCCAGTGACGGCCATGTAGGACTGCCAAGCCTCCGTCAGGACCCAGCAGAACGACGCCAGGAAGAAGAAGTGAAGAAAGGCTGTTGTCATGGTACAGACACCCTGTTGGTGATGAAGAAAAGGGAGAATTAGGTTCTGGATGGTAAAACCTTGTGATGAACATGAGTGAGAGGGACAACAA